TTTAGACCGGGATGTTGAGACAACTTAGTAGACCAGGCGGAGAAATGGGGGTATCGTCCCCCGACGGCGGAATTTACGAGACTACGCATCTTTAGTCAATTTTTGGGTGCTGATTTCAAAAATCGATGTTATACGGGTAATTTCCGGGAACTTTAGCCTCGTTTTCAAGTTTGAATCCTCATTTTCATGTAAATCCTTATTTCAGGTTTATGTTTAGTATATCGATGATTTTGGTGACCGTAAGACTTAAAAATATATTGAAATTAAGAACTAGTTGTTTAAATGCATCTTGCCTGAAAAGGAGACTCGAGCTCCTTCTTATCTTTAGCATTTTAATAATTATCCCAGCCTCAAACTAGCTCACAAAATACATTTATAAAGTTAACTGATCTACGGTCCGATGCAGGTAGAAAGCCAAAAATCACTTTGTCTTCAATGTGAAGAAATTTTCATAAACGTTCACAAAAAAAAAGAAACAAATATCAAGTTTAATCAGACCATGTTTTGATCCAGTCCCCAGACGAATATTGTTCTTCTCAGGGTTCGATAAATAACGTAGCCAAATACAGTCATCCTATTAGTTTTTTGTTTTTGTGGACACTAATGAAAGTGTTTGATTAATTTATTTTTAAATTTTAATTTATTTTTAAATTTAATAAAGTTCTTTCATCAGGGAGACCACTCACAATTTGTGATTTTCAGTGAGTCTCTAAAGAATCTAACAATCCTGGACCCTGGTACTTGGTATAATTACCTCCAAGTTGATATCACACAAGAAAACTTTATGGATCTAAGACAAACACCGAAATAAGAATTTCAACAACAGTCAACAAAGTGAAATCATGAATTGGTTTAAAATTATTACAAATCCATACAAATTACAATAAATGCTGGAAATAGCCTGTGATTAAATATCAAGCAGATATGTACTTGTGTGCACCAAACACTTTCTAAGTCATAATATCAACACTTGATATTAGTTTGCTTACAGATCAATATAGTTGTGTGTTCGTTTATTAAAGACACCACGTTTTATTAGTTAACAAACAAAGCTCTGCCATTCGTATGCCTTATACAGATATTTCATTCTCATAGAAAGTATTCGCATCAGCTGGGTCTCTAGGGGAATTTATTCGCGCGACGGGAACCGGAATCTAAAAAGCGGTGATGTGATTGATCCGCGAAGAAATTCCCCGCAAAAAAAGTAGGATCGCTTCCTAATTCTTCATCAGTTCGCGCGAATAAATTCTGCAAGTGGAGAACGGGATTTAATGGAACTTAGCGCTTAGGAATTAAAAAGTTTGCGCACTATGACCTAATCTCAGAGCCTTAACAACAATTCACTTTTATTACAGTTATAAAAGACAAATTTGCTCAAGCCAATCGCTTAATTATTGAAAACCAACATGATATGCTATAGTAAGACGAATATAGGATATTTCGGAGCAAGATTTTGGAATTTATTGAAGGTTTTGCTAAACGTTTTAACAAAACGCGAGAGCGCTGTGTCGTTTCTAGCATACCTCGTTGTTGACGAAGTAAAATGATTCAAGAAAGAGACAAGAACGTACCTTTATCACTTCTTGGAACTGATAATCCAACTACGTCGCCATAATTCAGCGAGATTTAAGTCAGAATGAAACCAAACAGACGCTAAGAAATGTACACAAACCTAGCGAACAAGAATACACCAAACACTCTGCTGGTCTACGCTACTGGTTACATTTATTGAAAGGAAGTCATTCGAAATTGTCGGTGTGTGTTTGTGTCATACAGGATGTGTCAAAAACACTATAATTACCATAAGTTGATATTGCAGAGAGCATTTCAATATCCATGTGACTAATTATGCTTCTGATATTTGACGTATTTGACATTAGAATAACCACACAAAGTTCAATTACAGAATATCTAAGCATGGATTGTGTTCACGCACCCTTTGGATCAATTAGTGATAAATTACGCCAGAGTTGCAGTTTTCTAAAACACTCTGCAGAACCAGTCTAATTGTGTTATTGTCTAATTTTCTTTGTTAACATTCCTTATTACTGATTTTGTCTTGTGTGGGCGAGATCTTCCTCATTGAAAGCTAAGATCCTCCTCGTATGGAAGTCACCAGAGATTTTCTACCATGCAGATCTACACAAAATGTTCTGTTCCAAAGCTATTTATGTAGCCTCAAGAAACATAAATGCGCAGTTACCAATTGAAAACAGGATTAGTCAAAAAGCCTTTATGTGAATTTTAATCAATATCAGAATATCAGTAGCGGACCAAGGCAAGAACCCATGCAGAGAAACTCCATTCACCCAGCCCCGTTTATAAAACAAACATTTTTCGTACGGCACGCTTAATTTTTTCAAGGCAGGCCAAAAGAAATTGGCGCCGTGACTAAGCCTGTTTACGCGTTATTTTTCTTTTTAGGCCTGAATACCACAAAATTTTAGAAAGCACCCAATAGAATATTTTTGGCGCCCATAACCACAACGCTGTTGCTATATAAGTCAGCAGATTAACAAAGCAGAGATGCATCAATTGAAGCAAATGATCATGGTTTAGTTGATAAAATAAAGGAAATAAAAATAACTTGTTACATCATCTGGTAATCATGCCATAAAGGCATTCTAAAAAAATTATCCTTCGAACAAAAAGCGAATCGTTTTATTCGTGTTATAGTGTCGGTATTTTTGAATTTTATAACTTGTTGAATGACTTCAGCACCCTAGGCTTCTATTAAAGCATTTGTTTTCGTATCCAACCAGAGCTTTTCCTGCTGTTCTTTCCCGCTATTTTGCAGTAATTATTTAATCTGCGCATGATCAACAATAAAAAATTGCTGATGAAATCAAAGAAAATTCGAGGCCGACCCTCGCTCAAATCCGATTCAAAATTGCTGATGCAACTATATTTTCGGCACGGTGCCGATGTGTTGACAGGTCGAGAACATCTTTTAAAGCAATCTCGACACGGATAAAATTACTGGTCGGCGGACTTATATTATGTCTGTTTATAGGACAAAATTTAAAGTACCGTGCCATTTTCTGCGATCGTGCAAAAAATTATGCGTTCCTGGCCAAAAATGCTTGTCGTGTAAACGAGGCTTTAGTCACTGCATGGTCATGGCCACCAATAGTATATGCGGACTATCGGTGTCATACGAGAACCAGTGAACTAGGCTTGAAGCCTGGTTTTCATACGTCATGGACAATTGGCGAAGGCCGAAGGATATTGTCAGAGATCACTGGAGAATAAAGTGGTGTGTTATTTTCCATAAATTTTCTTGGTTATTGGTTATCAACAATAACATCACCGACTGTCGGTGGTTAAGAACAAGGCCAGGTTTATAAGCCAGGTCGATGGTTATTGTTGGTGAATGCAGGAGAATAAAGGGCTTTTCTATTTTAAACAAATTTCGGCACTGGCCACCACCTATCTTCGCTGACTGTCGGTCACATATGAAAACGAGGCTTATGGAAGCCAAAAAAGAAACTAAACGTTTTGTCTTTAGGAAAACAAGTTTACCCTGTGTTATAAGACAATGGTAATCCATTCATGGAGATAAATTCAGCGGTTAATAATAATGAAGTGACGACATTCAATAAGAGATAAACGCATTGTTCAGGAGAAAGAAATTATATTCTGACAAACCTTCCTCTGCCGGAAAGAATTCGTCAGCGAGTGTCTCCCAAAATGTAGGAAATCAAATCATATAGAGACCGCTGAAATACAAAAACATTTTATCATTTTTATGGGGAAGGTGCTCCAAACCCCCCACAACTTCCGCATCTATAAATGATCAATTTCTATAGTTGGAACTACTTGGTTCCGCTCCCCGCCCAAAACCTCACCTAACAATTTCCTAGAAAGACCTCGCAGTCACGAATATCCCTTAATTGGTTTTTGTTGTTTCCTCTGTTTTCTCGAAGGTAATAATGATTCAGCTAATTTATTCAGCCAATCTGGCAACCCTGGTTCTTGGTGTCATTACCTCCAAGATGATATTTCGCCAAGGTGATATCACACCAGAAAACTTTTACACTCATTGATTGCGCGTATTATAAGAACGTTAAAAACCACAGATATAGAAAATCAGAAAATTCAACAACTGAATGAAATATGTAATAAAATGGTTAACGGTTTACAAATGATTACAAATCTATACAAATTACAATAAATGTTGGCAACAGCACACTTGTGTGGACCAGACACTTTCTAACGCCTGTATTCTAAAAGCTCACTCACACTCAAACTCATTGAGTGGGAGATCTTAATCTTCTCGTAATGTTTCAATGGCGGTATTTCCAGCCAAACAGGGGCTTGATTTTCAGTGATTTACCTTATATCTTTCCATCTATTCAGAAAAAACTTTCTCATTGATCAGCATTAACGAAATTTATATGTCACACTCGATGAGTATGAGTGTGAGTGAGCTTTTTGAATACAGGCGTAAGTCTTAATATCCTATTTTAACACTTGATATTAGTTTGCTTACAGATGAATATAGTTGTGTGTTCGTTTATTAAAGACACCACGTTTTATTAGTTAACAAAACAAAGCTCTCCCATTCGTATGTCTTATACAGATATTTCATTCTCATGGAAAATATTCACATCAGCTGGATCTCCACTCGGGGAATTTATTCACGCGACGCGAACCGGAATCTAAAAATCGGTGATGTGATTGGTCCGCGAAGAAATTCCCCGCGAAAATGTAAGATCGCGCTTCCTAATTCTTTATCAGTTCGCGCGAATAAATTCTGCCAGTGGAGAACGGGATTTAATCGAACTTAGCGCTTGGGGATTATAAAGTTTCGCACTTTTTTTTAAAAAATATACTACAAAAACTTTTCTAGGAATAATCAGGTCCTATAAATTACTTCTCAGTCAGTTAAGGCCTGTTTCAAAGTGTCGAACGCGTTAAAAACCAAAAAACGACCTTTGAAACACGCCTAAGACATGATTGTTGGTTTTTTTGTGACCTTCTTTTTCATGAACATCAGATGTCTTGAACATAATATTATTCACATTTCAGTCAAATTTTTACAATTTTCCATCTCCGCTTCAGACTATAAATATCTTCCTTCCCAGCTAAAAAACGAACGTTCTCTGTAATGTACATAGTTCTTGTAGTTCCATTAGGGACGATAATTGAGGTGATGTTTATTCATATATTCTGTTCTGCCCGACAGATTTCAATTCTAAGATTGCAGATGTATTGAAGATATCATCTTTGTTTTGTTTAACAAACTGTAACCCCAGTTAGGGAGGCAAGGGAGTGCTATCACTTGCCCAAGGTGAACTCCCAGACAAACGGAGGGAAGGAGGTGTCTTACTTCTCCATTCTAGACCAGCTCCAAGCGAAGTCTAGCCGCTGCCCGAGAACAATGTTCTTGATGATAGTTTTCGAAGTCTTTTCCTATTGGTTTTCGTCCTCGTGTGAACGGGATCATTTCAGTTACTTTTAAGAATAAAAAAATTCTCATTTATTGGGTATAAACAACCTGCAGGAAACCAAACATATACAGCTTTGTGTAAATTTTCCTAAAAACTTTTTCCGCGAGACGACTTTATTTCGGTTAAAGAAAGATTGACTACTAAATACTATCTCGCTAAATATCGTCCAACAAAGAAAGTTATTGTTTAATATCGTCCAACCAAGCAACTGCCCGTCGCTTAATTTCGTCCAATAAGGAATTTTCTGGAATAGACAGTCGAAGAAACACCATATCGCCTCTGTAGTTAGAAAAAGCCAGCATGGTCTCTTTTGGGGAAAGTTTAATTCCTTGGTTTGACTCATCAACCTTCAAGTATGGTTGATAGGAATGGTCGAGAATCGCGCCAGAGTCCATGTCAAAAAATATCATCAGGCGATCGGATAAATTTAATACAATTCTACTCTTGTGAATACAAAACGACCTGGATAACGAATGAACAAAACTGAATTAAAACATTATATTTTGAGAATCACCAGTGTCCAGATTAATTATTTGACTCATTTGAGCAACAAAGTGCATGACTACTGCGACTTTGGAGTCATTACTGAAACTTACTGCGACTATTTCATTGCGAAATTCATAGTCATAAAAGACTTCATACGAAGTTGGTTTTTCGGTATTTCTTTTCCAAATATAAAATATATACCCATTACAACCTGAGATAAAGGCACCACCAGGCGAGATTTCCACTTCCATCTTAGGGTCAATTCCAGGCAAATTGATCATTACAGGACCATCAACATCTCTGACATCGAGAACTTTCACGGGTTTGAAGCGTCCAAGAGCAAAGCTGACAAAGCCTTCATCAAACCAGTCCACTAGCTTGAGTTCAGACAAGTCGTCTAGCACCAAGTCCTGACTGCGAGTAAACACGATCTCTAAAATGTCATCTACCGGGTATCGCGTTAATTTGGGAATCCCGTTAAATTCACTAATCACAAACAAGAAATCTTCCGACCACCACCATAAAAACCTTAACCCACATTGACTGCTTTTGAAACGTTGTTGAACTTGGCTGGTATAGACATTCCATACGTTGATATATCCATCTGAGTTGCAGGATGCAAGTCGAGAGCCGTCAGGAGAAAACGAACTCGAATAAACTTTCGTTTGCTGTGACAAACAAGAATGCTCTTGTTTAGGAGCTAATGCCTTAAAAACAATTAATTTGTCAATATCTGAATAGAGCCACACATTATCTTCTAAAGTTGGTATTTTATTTGCACGGAAAGAAAAGCCACAAGCAGCAACAAGATAGTTCCAAGCAACAATCGCAGTAAAAGGAATACTTTCTGTCTCACTCGAATAACAAAATTCTTCCGAAGAAAAAATACACTCCACACCTTTGCAGATCCACGGACACGAAATCATATTATATTCAGTCAAACTTTTCCTCATTTCTAAGTGTTTAGAATTTGGTTCCTCAAATCTCCGCTGAAAACATCGTTCACATTTCCTACTCTTTAACAGAACTCGTTTCTCCCTTTCCCCGTGAGATAATTTTCGCTTATCACTTCTTTGCAATGTGATGGCGCTCCAAACACAAAACGAATAACCCGGATAAGATGAAGATTCTGAATTTGCAATAATAAATAACCCTGTGACACTAAAAGAGCACCAATCAACAGGAATTCCAGCACAAAGCGACGACAGCAGCGTTTGTTTAACAACGTCCCATAGTTTAATGGTGTTTGAACCGTCGCTAGTCACCAGTTTTTTGCCGTTAGGAGAAAATGCACAGGACAGGAACGTCTCTTCATTTCCAGGGAAGAATGGGACTTCCTTTCTTCCAGCAATGTTAAACGCCGTTTCCAGTTTACCAAATAATATGAGCGAATCGTCTGGAGAGAATGTGCAGCATGGAATTTTTTCCGATTTTGTTGAATAATTCATAATTTCAACTAAAGTTGGTACGGATAGCACATTGATAAAATTTTCCACTCCAACTGCTACTCTTTTCTCATCGTTAGATAAAGCAACAGCTGTAATATGATCAAAGTCACCGCATTTCCAGACTGCTCGCGGCAAAAGCGAAACTTCGTAAGAAGTCGACTCGACAAAAGGTGAAACGTTTGATAGTAGCGTCTCCGCGATTTTCTTCTCATCATCGCTGAAATAACCTTCTGGAGAATGTGTAAGAACCGCTTGTAAATAACATTGTGAATATACTGTCGAAAAAACTGAATAATTGTCATATTCCAACTGGTGTCCTAGAACATGTTCCAACGAGTTAAATTCAATGACATGGTACGAAATTCGGGCGCGTAAATCTTCGTTTTTAATCCAGGAACATTGCAGTAATGTGAGCCAGAAACGCAGCAAATCATCTAAATTGATTATCATCGCAGTTATCATATAACATACGATAATAACATCAACCGACCAAAACACACCTTCCTCCATTTTACACTTTTCTAGATGTTTTAAACCATGTTCCAGAGCGTATTCCACGCCATTAGTAAATTTAACCTCAAGTCCTAAGCGAATATTCTTCGCAATTTCTTCAAAAATCTTTTCGCATAAAAGCCAAAGCGATCTATGTCCATCATCGACCTTGACAGTATACTGGTGATCTTTGTAGCCCTTTGCTAGAAGCCAATCAATAAAGGATTTGTGAAAAACGGTTAACATGTCATCTGAAACGTACAACAAGCACGATACGGTTTCATTAATTTTGTTGATGATGTCTTTCGTTTCGCGACAATCTGGAGTTAAACCAAAAGCCTGAGCGATGAAAGTGAGGGGAAGAGGTCCTTCGGAACTAGCCAGCATTGCCAAAATATTCAACACATCAAACTTTTCGTGTTTTATGGTGTTAAGCTCGTCTTCAAGGCGTTTAAAATATCGTTCGTAAACAGAATGCAGACCTTCTGGGAGAAACCCCATGACGTCATTATTTGTTATCTTCTCAAGATCATAGCGAGCCTTTAGCCCAGATTGAAAGTGATCTGCATAGAGAAATGAGCCCTGGCATTTGGCAACAAAAATGGAAAGTAAACCAATAGTTTTATTTTGCCAAAAGCGGTAATGAGATGATAGATATGGATGATCCTTATAGAAATCTTGGCTCATCTCCCTTTTATCCACTTCCCTGCCAACTAAACTTGGAAAACATTCTTTAAAATAAAGTTCAAGATCTAAATTATTGTTGTAATGAACATTGGAAATGTCTGTCTTTTGCTCGTCTCTTAGTCTTAGATCAGCAACGGAAATCTCTGGCCTGCTTGTCACCAAGATTTTGATGTAGTTGGGAAGCTCATGAAAATATTCAGCAATCAAATGCGCAATTTCATTCTTATTATCAGCAGCACTTTCATCCAGGCCATCGATCACAACTAAACGCGGCTCTTTTATTTCCAATTCATCTAAGGGATTTTGCAAATATATTAAAAATGCATCTCTCAGGTTTTGGACTTGATGACGTCGTCCTAACTGATCAAGGAGCTCCTCTTTAAAACCATGGACGCTCTTGCACATCTGACTTGCGAGAGACTCCAACATCGCCATAGGATCTCTTAGGTTTGAATTGCTGAAATCACAAAAGTGACAAGCAGCCAGCTTTCCATTCTTCTCAAAATCTTCACAGATTTTAGCGGCAAACACGTTTTTACCAAATCCTGGTCCAGCTGTTATTAATTTTATTCTTGAGTCACTCTCACTGATACAAAACCATTCGTTAACTTCCCTTAACAACCACTCTCTTGTTCCAGGTAGGAAAAACTTCACTTTTCTTTGAATTTTATTCTTGAAATTATGTTTGGCAAGTTTTCTTAATACATCTTCACTACTCTCCTTGCAGAATTTTTTTTCAGGATTGGCATCCTCGGGTATTGATAGCGTACGCTTGAGGGAAGTTTGCGGTATCTCATTGTAACTTTTCTTCAACAAAAACTGGCACAGTAGATTTACTCCATCGCGGGTTTCTTCAACGATTTGTGTCATTGTTGCAAGCATTTTAATACATTCATCTTCGTGCAGTTTCCAATCTTTAAGCTTTTGCACATACACTTCTTCTTCAGGCCCAAGAGGACATTTTTCTAAATCATCGACATCACTCTGTGAAACGCCCAATTCTACTATCGCCTGGGAAATTTTCTTCCATAAAGACTGAAATTTTGAATTGTCAACTCGAGTGGATGTTACATGTGCAATAACTTCATTTCTGTAACACTTGATTCTTGTGATATTCGCTTGCTCTGATCTATCAGTATTCGGAGGTATTACGCCCCATCCTGTTGATGGAAAACCACAAATGTTCCGGAATAGAACTGTAAGTAATGTGAGATCAAAGGTTTTGGAATCTGGTGGATTGCCAGACGGAGGAAACAGTAAATCCCACTGGGAATTATTAATAACTCGAGGTTTTAACATTTGAAGAGATGTTTTTTTCGCAGCTAGTACTCTGGGTAGACTAACAGGTGGATGGATGGTATCAAATGTATTTCTCAAAGCCTCAGTTCCTTTGTCAACTAAAAGTCTACTAAGTCTTGTAAAATTCGCTTTTTCTTGCAGTTCGCCAGAAGCCATGGCATAGGACAGGGTTAATTGCTGTAAAAAAATGGTTGTACTAATTATATAGGTTACACCGAGAAAAAGAATGGGATGAGGTAGCGTTTATAATATTTTATGACATTCTGTATGATATAATGTTGTTATATATGGACCATACGCTTGTTAAAAGATGTATTAAAATTGGTTTAATCCAAGAATTCTAGATCTGTTTAAAATATAATATGAAAATATGTAAAAGTAATTATTCTTATGATCAATATACAAATTATATTGGACTATGTCGAGGTTTTGTGCTTTATAGTGTGATAACTATTGCTTAAATTACAGTTAAACACTTATAATCGCATTTAGATTTGCTAAAGCCTGGTCATATATGACCTTGCTACTGCTAAGATGCCAGGGTCACACAATCAGTTCTATTTGTAAAACGTACGAACACGAAACTTTCTCTTTTTCTCTGGCAAATCTTCTAGTGAAATGCATTTCTTACTTACGGCACTCCTGGTTTAATTTCTGCTTTTTCACTCTCTGTTGTAGGCGATGAAATGCAAATTCATTTACTGAATTGATCACGATTTTTTTAATCTTAAGTCTGACGTATTTTTCTAATTTGATAATACTTTTCAAATACAATCATATGATAAACTCACATGAACATAATTGCTCAATGTCCTAACAGAATGATGCAGCACTGTGCCGGGACAACAATTTATAATCTTTAAAAGTGACCGAAACGTAATTTTTAAATCTTGAAGCAACAAGTCAACTACAGCGTCTATATTCTACACAATTTAATCAGAAACAGTACACAAACCTCGCGGATAAAAAACAACAATCACTTTATTCTATCAATCCTGCTGGTTATTTATCAAGCTTGCATGGGTATGTGTTCAGTAGCTTTATTAATTTCAGCCAGGGAAGAGGGATGCGAGTTGCGTTGTCTACTGCTCTTTGTAAATACATCTCGTGTTGGACTATAGCGATATATGAAGTTTTGTATAAATTATTTCATCTTGCATATTACATCATGTCTTTAAATATCAACAGTCTTTAACATTTCATACCTTCGACTTCGTTATTTGTTAAACACGACGTCTGGTTAGTGTAATATATTCGTAATGTATTCATAGATTATGTTAATATATATTTTATAAGACACCTCATTGTGTAATAGAGATCATTTGTATGTAGCTCTTCCAACGAGACTTACTATTAAATACGTAAGAATATAACATGGTGTCAGGTGTGGCTAGTAACTAAAAGAAAATGGCCATAAAATCGTTAGGAATAGCTTAACTTGACTTCGAAAATGGCAATTTAGCAGAAAACTGGAAGCGATGGAAGCAGACAATGGAGTTAACGCTTCAAGGGCCATTAGCTGAGATAGAAGAAAAGCAACAATGCGGTTATTTTCTGCTGTACATTGGTCAAAAAGGCAGAGATATCTACAATACTTGGGCGTTAAAGAGTGCCGAGATGGACAAGATCGAAGCGTTATTCGAAAGGTTCGAAGCCTATTGTAGTCCTAAGCAGAATGTCACGGTGCTACGTTACAAATTTAATACGAGAGATCAACGAAGTGACGAGAACATACAGGGTGTATCAAAAAAAATGTCCCAAATGTAAAATTTCCGTTTTTCAGGATATTTTGCAGAATTTGGCAAATTTTTGTGTTCCTAGAGATAGTTAAGATCGACTTATCTGGTATACTTAGGCCAAGTTTGGTTTTTCATTAACAAAATTACGTTACCGGGGGGGTGGTTCCTTTCCACTGATATTGAGAGGGCTTGCGCGCGAAAATGTGAAGCTGAAATTGAGATATGATTTAGCTGTCTAAAAGTAGGAAAGCTTTTTAATAAACTGTCAAAGTTTCAGGAAAAATAATGCAAACTGGGAGCAACGCGCGACCCCTAAAGGTGACAAATATTTCATTGCGCGTAGTGGATTAAATGCATCGTTGATTTTAGCATGACCGATCTCATGTAAGGCTGGGCAAATGAATACATTAAAGTGAGAAACTGAACACAAAAACAAAGCGATTTATTCGTGATGTTAATCCTTAGCATGTCCACCATCTCATTCTAAGCAAACTGCGGCTTGTCTGAGCATACTAAACACTGAACAGCGAACCATTGTTCTGTCCATTCGCCTAGATTTGCCGGTGGTAGCGTAGGCGATTTGCAAGGAAGAATTTCGAACGAAATGGATAATAGGGGGCAGGACAGACAAATGTGGTTCGCCGTTCAAGTGTTTACCATGCTCAGACGAGCCACAGTTTGTTAGAAAGAAATGGTGGAAATGTTGAGGCTTAACATCACGAATAAAAATCTTGTTAGTAAATCGCTTCGTCTTTTTGTTCAGTTTCTCGCTTTAATTTATTCATTTGCCCAGCCTTGCATGAGATCGGTCACGCTAAAATCAACCATGCATATTATCCACTGCGCGCAATGAAATATTTGTCACTTTTAGGGGTCGCGCGTTGCTCCCAGTTTGCATTATTTTTCCTGAAACTTTGACAGTTTATTAAAAAGCTTTCCTACTTTTAGACAGCTAAATAATATCTCAATTTCAGCTTCACATTTTCGCGCGCAAGCCCTCTCAATATCAGTGGAAAGGAACCACCCCCCCGGTAATATAATTTTGTTAATGAAAAACCAAACTTGGCCTAGGTATACCAGATTAGTCTTAACTATCTCTAGGAACACAAAAATTTGCCAAATTCTGCAAAATATCCTGAAAAACGGAAATTTTACATTTGGGACATTTTTTTTTGATACACCCTGTAGATCAATATGTAACAGAACTTAGGCGACTAGCGAATGACTGTTCGTATGGAGAACTATTAGAAGAAATGATTCGAGATCGGATTGTTTGCGGTACGAACAATCTGCAGATTAAAGAAAGACTTTTACAGGCAGAAATGCTTGATTCATCGAAGGCTATAAACATTGCTAGGGGAATTGAAATAGCTACACACCAATTGAAAGACCTTTCAGAGGAAAGCGACAAGGCGGTGCACGAGATGTATAAAAGTGGGCGTAAGTCAAGTAAAGATAAAGGACAAGACGATCAAGAACAACAAAAGGGTACGAAACCGGAATCTAGAAAACCGTGTAGCTGCTGTGGTCGTAAACATGTGGGCAAGCAAACTTGCCCAGCAAAAGGTAAAGTTTGCTATAAATGTAAAAAGTATAATCACTACTCACGAATGTGTAGAAGTAGGACGGTGCATGAAGTTGAAATTCCCACTAACTCAAGTTATGAAGAGAGTGATTTTTTATCGGGGTAGTTAATGAACCTAATGAGAAAAAAGATGAAATATCCGTAAACTTGCTAGTTGATGAAAGTGACTCGATAAAAGTGAAATTAGATACGAGAGCGCAAGTTAATGTGATGCCGATACAAGTTTACAATTCGCTAAAGACTAAGTCAAAAGTGTTGCAGCCAACTAAAGTAAATTTAATTGCGTATGGGGGAAACAGAATTCCAGTTCTTGGTCGATGCCAACTGAAATGCAAATATAAGAACCAAGTGCATAACCTTGAATTTTACGTTGTTAATGCGACAGCTCCCACTGCCTTGAGTTTAAAAACATGCCAAAGCCTATCATTAATTAAAGTTATAATGATGGTGAATAATCAGGGCGAAAACAGTAACGGTGATCAGTTAATTGAAGAGTTTAGTGATGTTTTCAGAGGACAAGGGTGTTTATCGCATGAATATCACATCCAACTAAAGCCGGAAGTTAAACCCGTTGTGCATGCTGCAAGAAAAATACCCGTGAGCTTGAGAGATAAAGTCAAGCATGAATTAGATCGGATGGAAAAGTTAAATATTATACGACGCGTTGATGAGCCTACAGAATGGGTCAACTCTATGGTTGTTGTCCCAAAGCCCAATGGGGAAGTAAGAATTTGCTTAGATCCCAGGGATTTGAATTCTGCAGTAAAATGCGAACACTATAGAATGCCCACATTAGATGAAACCACCAGTCAGTTGGCCGGTGCGAAATACTTTACTGTTTTAGATGCAACAGCTGGCTATTGGAACGTTCCGCTGTCCAAGGAATCCTCTATATTGACAACGTTCCAAACACCATTTGGTAGATTTTGTTATTTACGAATGCCATTTGGTATATGTTCCGCACAAGAAGTCTTTCAGAAGAGAATGGATCACGCATTCGGAGAATTGCCAGGTGTCCACGTGATTGTTGATGACATACTTGTAGCTGGATCAACTAGAGAGGAACACGACAACAGGCTACGTGCGACGTTGACAGCCGCGAGACAGCATGGGGTGAAGTTTAATCCAAAGAAAATGCAGAAGTGTTCACGTGAAGTTAAATTCTTTGGTGAAATGATAACGAGAGATGGTCTAAAGCCCCATCCCTCCAAAGTGGCAGCAGTGAAAAATATGACGTCTCCGCGAACCAAGAAAGAGTTGGAGAGTCAGCTTGGTATGTTCACTTACTTGGCTCAGTATTCACCACATCTGTCGGAAAAAACTGCGATCCTAAGAGAGCTGGTCAAGAGAGATACCATGTGGAATTGGTGTCCTGAACACGAAGCTGCGTTTAATGAAATAAAGAATATTATAACGCAAGTTCCAGGTCCAGTTCTAAAGTTCTATGATCCTGGTAAACCGGTCACAGTACAAGTCGATGCTTCCCAGTCAGGACTAGGAGCTGTGCTTCTACAAGATGGGAAACCTGTCGCATATGCTTCGAAAGCTTTGACTCCAACCCAACAGGCATACGCTCAAATTGGAAAAGAAGCATTAGCGTTGGTTTTTGGATGTGAAAAATTTCATCATTACCTCTATGGTCGAGACTTCGATGCAGAAACAGACCACAAACCCTTAGAAATTATAATGAGAAAACCCCTTCAAGCTACGCCATTGAGAGTTCAGAGGATGAGATATCGTCTACAGAGATATAACGTGACCGTTAAGTACAAGCCTGGAAAGGATATTCCTGTTGCGGACACACTATCGCGAAGTGGTGCCTGTAGTGAGGATCCATCAGAAGATCTAGATTTGGAATCTTACGTTGAAAGTATCGTTAAAGAAATGCCAGTATCTGAGGGCAAGATAAAAGAAATACGAGATGCTACGAAGCGTGATGAAGAGTTACAAGAGCTTCAACGATGTGTGAAACAAGGGTGACCCGAATCCTTAAAAGAAACGCCAAAAATGGTGCAGTGCTATTGGAACTGTCGTGAAGAAATCACAGAAGTTGATGGGGTAATGTTCAAAGGAATGAAAATCATCATTCCTAAGTCAATGCGCCAGGAAATGTTAATGATAATACATACTGGGCACATGGGTATCCAGAAATCGAAAGATCGTGCTCGAGATGTGCTGTAGTGGCCTGGCATGACGAAAGAAATAGAGAATTACGTAGCGAGATGTGCAACATGTCAAGAATACCAGAACCTTCCACAGAGAGAACCATTGATTCCCCACAGCATTCCAAGTCGCCCATGGCAGATGGTAGGAACGGATTTGTTTTGGTGGAATGGTGCGAATTACCTACTCGTAGTGGACTACTATAGCAAATTCTTTGAGATTTGTCTGCTATCTAACACACTGAGTATTACGGTAATCAAACACACCAAATCTATTTTTGCTCGTCATGGCATACCAGAAGTTGTGATATCTGATAACGGTCCTCAGTATTCGTGCAAGGAATATGAAGATTTTGCCAATACTTGGGGTTTCCAACATAAAACCTCATCCCCAGCTTATCCACAGTCTAACGGGTTGGCTGAACGTACTGTTCAAACAGCGAAGAATCTTTTACAGAAGGCGAAAGAAAGCGGAGAAGACCCTTACCTAAGCCTTCTCAGTTACAGGAATACGTCTGTATCTGATGTTGGTTCTCCCGCCCAACTCCTAATGAACAGGTGATTGCGAACAGATCTACCAACCACTAGTCAGCAGTTGGTTCCAAAGATCCTTAACCGACAAAACGTGCAGAATTGTTTGAAAAAACAAAAGATTCGACAAAAACTTTATTATGATCGTTTCTCGAAAAATCGAAAACCTTTGCATAAAGGAGACCGAGTGCGAATATACCAAGATAAAACATGGCAACCAGCAACTATTGTTGATCGAGATGAATCTCCATGATCTTATCATGTTGAAACGCCAGATGGACGTGTGTATAGAAGAAATAAAAGGCATTTGATTGAAACACCAAGCTCAGTGAAGAGAACAACTGACAAAATTCCTCAACGAAGAACAGTCGTTGAACAATCGTTAAATGAAGATTCAAGAGAAGGAAATCCGTCGGTGCAAGCTCCGGAAACGCCAGTACTAAAGACACGATCAGGACGGATAGTTACAAAACCAAAACGATTTTCAGATTATCTGATGTATGGAAACTGCAAATAATTTCTATCAAGTTAGTTAGTTGAACAATTTATATATTCTAAGAACAATTTAGAAAACATTCAAAAAAACAATAAAAAGAGGGAGATGTAATATATTCGTAATGTATTCATAGTTATGTTAATATTTAGTATAAAAGACACCTCATTGTGTAATAGAGATCACTTGTATGTAGCTCTTCCAACGAGATTTACTATTAAATACGTAAGAATATAACAGTTAGTAATTTTCCAGCAAGTTAATACGTGGCTTTAGAAACCAACAATGCGTGAGATGAGAAAACTTAAGATATCAAACAAAGCTGGTTTGAAGCTTTTAATACGACGTCAGAGCGCTGTGCCATGGTTATTTAATTTGTCGATCTAAAGCTTACTTCGTGTGATAGTTGTCAATCCAGTCATTTTATTGCTTCAAATTTGCAGGATTTCTTTGCAAAACCTATTCATTTCAAAGCAGATATATACTTTTAGCTTTTTTAGGCTTTTCAAAGGCGTGTGTTATTGTGATATAAACAGACTATAATTTCAGAAGGAAAGGAACAATTTGATAGTTGGTTAAACTGAGATTTTGTATAAGTAACTAGTTGGTCAGTATGAAAATATAGGATAATGGGTAGCACATGAAGTTCCAATCAAAGAAAGCGCCAGTTTTGCAGATAAAACAAAATTAACAAAAGATAAATGTGTTTTATCTAAGGGAAAAGTCGCCCCATGACGTAATTCCACCGCCCTCATATGTCAATATTATTAATTTATTACAATTATCAGCATATTATTGTTAGTATTAAGACGAGTAAAGGATACTAATGAACGAAATTTACGATTTTATTGAAGTTTTTGCTAAACGTTTTAACATGACGTCACAGCGTTGTGCCTTGTCTGGAATACTTCGCTCTTGACGAAGTGAAATGATTTACAATCTTCAAGAAACAAAAACGTACCTATGAAATTCACGACGTAGACATAATTCCACAGATTTAGGCCACAAATAAAATAATAAACGCTAAGAAATGTTCAGAAATCCAACAGACAAGAATAAAACAAACACTCTGATGGTATCCTGCTGGTTCTTTGTTCAACTCAATGTTGTAAAATATCCGCTTTGCTTTAAATGCATTTTTGTCGGTTTAATGCGCTTAATTACTTCGTATTACTCATTTTATCTTGGGTAGAGAACTTTGATATATATTGAGTGCTGGAAAAACTAAACTAACGCTTAGGTTAAACATTAATACCACTTCAAAGTACTTTAACATTTTCAGTCATTTTTTAACCGTTCGCTAGCGAAGTATTTACATATTTTCTTTTCAATTTTAACACAATAAATAAATTAGTTCAGCTTGACTGTTCTTATTTCAAAAGAAAATATGCAAATATTTCGCTAGCGTAAGCAACCACCTTTCTGCATGTGGAAATCAAGCCTTATTAACGCCGTGAAGTTACCTTACGCTTTTAGAAAACTTAAACTAATTTTATGTGATCTCGATTTCATGGTTAGTAACTGACTAACAATTTATGACATTGTTTTGAAGACCAACAATGCATAAGATGAGATGAATGGTAATTTCAATAGCTAGAGATTGCTTTGTTCTTGTGATATAAACAGACTATAAATTCTTAGTTGAAAGCCTCTGAGGAAAGAAAGGAGTCAATTTGACGGTGGAATAAACAGATTTGAAACTAGTGGCTTATAAAACAGGACGATGGTTGAAACATGAAATTCGACTTCATATGCTAGTTTTCGTCAGATAAAACAAATATCAATGTGTCAATTTCTACCATAAAATTCACACTATGACCTAATCTCACAGCCTTAACTTTAATTCACTTTTTCTACAGTTATAAAAGACAAATTTGCTGAAGCCAATCGGTTAATTATTGACAACCAACATGATATTCTATAGTAAGACGAATAAAGTATATTTGGAGCAAGATTTTTTATTTTATTCAAGGTTTTGCTAAACGTTTTAACAAGACGCCACAGCGCTGTGCCGTGTCTAGAATACTTCGCTGTTTACGAAGTAAAATGATTTATAATCTTCAAGAAAGAGATAAGAACGTACCTTTATCAATTCTTGAAACCCATAATCCAACTACGTGGCCATAATTCAGCGAGATTTAAGTCAGAAATAAACCAAATAGACGCTAAGAAATGTACACAAACCTAGCGAACAAGAATACACCAAACACTCTGATGGTATCCTGCTGGTTATTTAATGAACTCAAATCATGCATTCGAAATTATCGTTATGTGGGTGTCATACAGGGTGTGTCAAAAACAATATAATTTGCATAAGTTTATATTGCAAAAAACATTTCAATATCCGTGCGACTAATTACGCTTCGAATATTTGACGTATTTGACGTATTTGACATTAGAATAACCACACAAAGTTCAATTACAGAATATCCAAGCATGGATTGTGTTCATCTAAAACACTCTGCAGACTTTGTTAATATTCCTTATTACTGAATTTGTCTTGTGTTGGCGAGATCTTCCTTATTGAAAGCTAGGATCCTCCTCGTATGGAAGTGACCAGATATTTTCTACCGTGCAGATCTACACAAAATGTGCTGTTTCAAAGCTATTTGTGTAGTCCCAGAAACATAAATGCGCAGTTACGAATTAAATAGAGGATTAGTAAAAAAAGTCTTCATGTAAATTTTAATCAACATCAGAATATCAGTAGCGGACCAAGGCAAGAACCCATGCAGAGAAACTTCATTTACTTTGCCCCGTTTATAGAACAAACATTTTTGGTACGGCACGCTTAATTTTTTCAAGGCAGGCCAAACGAAATTGGCGCCGTAAGTAAGCCTGTTTACGCGTTATTTTTCTTTTTAGGCCTGAATACCACAAAATTTTCGAAAGCACCCAATAGAATATTTTTGGCGCCCATAACCACACCGCAGTTGCTATATAAGTCAGCAGATTAACAAAGCACAGATGCATCAATTGAAGCAAATGAACGAATCTTTTTAATCGTGTTATAGTATCGGTATTTTCGCATTTTATAACTTGTTGAATGACTTCAGCACCCTAGGTTTCTATCAAAACATTTGTTTTCGTATGCGACCAGAGCTTTTCCTGCTGTTCTTTCCCGCCATTTTGCAGTAATTATTTAATCTGCGCATGATCAACAATAAAAAATTGCTGATGAAATCAAAGAACATTCGAGGCAGACCCTCGCTCAAATCAGATTCAAAATTGCTGATGCAACTCAATATTTTCGGCACGATGTCCATGCTTTGACAGGTCGAGAACATCTTTTAAAGCGGTCTCGACACGGATAAAATTACTGGTCTGCGGACTTCGTCATCGGCCACCGGACTTCGAAATTTCGTCATCCGCCACCACCTATCATCGCTGACTGTCGGTGACTTATGAAAATGAGGCTTATGGAAGCGAAAAAAGAAACTACACGTTCTGTCTTTCAGAAAACAAATTTACCTTGCATGTGTTATAATAAGGTAATGTTAATCCATCCATTGAAATAAATTCAGCGGTTAATAATGAAGTGACGATATTCAATAAGAAATAAACGCATTGTTCAGGAGAAAGAAATTATATAATGACAAACCTTCCTCTACCGGAAAGAATTCCTCAGCGAGTGTCTCCCAAAATGCAGGAAATCAAGTCATAGAGACTCTGAAATACAAAAACATTTTCTGGAGGTGTTCCAAACCCCCCACAACTCCCGCATCTATAAATGATCAATTTCTATAGTTGGAACTATTTGGTTCCGCTTCAACCCAAAACCGCATCTAACAATTTCCTAGAAAGACCTCGCGGTCACGTATATCACGTAATTGGTTTCTTTGTATTCACCTGTTGTTTCCTTTATTTTCTCGAAAGTAATAATGATTCAGCTAATTTATTCAGCCAATCTGGCAACCCTGGTTCTTGGTGTAATTACCTCCAAGGTGATATTTCGCCAAGGTTATATCACACCAGAAAACTTTTACAGTCATTGACTGCGCGTTACATAAGAACGTTAACAACCACAGATATAGAAAATTAGAAAATTCAAAAACTGAATGAAATATGTATTAAAATGGTTAACGGTTTACAAATGATTACAAATCTATACAAATTACAATAAGTGCTGGCAATAGCCTATGATTAAATATCAAGCAGATATGTATTTGTGTGCACCAAACACTTTCTAAGTCATAATATCCTATTTCAATACTTGATATTAGTTTGCTTACAGATCAATATAGTTGTGTGTTCGTTTATTAAAGACACCACGTTTTATTAGTTAACAAAACAAAGCTCTCCCATTCGTATGCCTTATACAGATATTTCATTCTCATAGACAATATTCACATCAGCTGGGTCTCCACTCGGGGAATTTATTCGCGCGACGCAAACCGGAATCTAAAAACCTGTGATGTGATTGGTCCGCGAAGAAATCAGTGGCCGCGAAAATATAGAATCGCTTCCTAATTCTTTATCAGTTCGCGCGAATAAATTCTGCAAGTGGAGAACGGGATTTAATGGAACTTAGGGCTTGGGAATTAAAAAGTTTGCCCATTATTTTCTACAAAAAATGCTACAAAAACGTTTCTAGGAATAATCAGGTCCTATACATTTCTTAAAATCCTTCTTCTGGGTCAGTTAAGGCCTGTTTTAACGTCATTCTAACAACGAAAACACAATGTTTGAAACACGCCTAAGATTGTTGTGTTGTTTCGTGACCTTCTTTTTCATGAACATCAGATGTCTTGAACATAATATTATTTACATTTCAGTCAAGTTTTCACAATTTTCCCGCTCGAGACTTTAAATATCTTCCTTCCCAGCTAAAAAAGGTGCTTGTAATGTAAATACTTCTTGTATTTCCGATATCTTTCTTTTTCATCAGTATCAGACGTTTTGACTATAATACAGTTACTATTAATTACTATAATTACTACCATTATTTCATAACCGGCACAATTACCATCAGCACCATAGTATAGGCCAGCACCATCACCAATATCATAGATGAGAACTATCACCACTAACATGACTGCAATCATCCCTACTATAATGAACATCTAGAACAACAACATTGGCATCAGTGACAATGTTTAAAGACTTGTTTCTTGCAGATGTATTGAAGATATCATCTTTCTTTTGTTTAACAAACTGTAACCCCAGTTAGGGAGGCAAGGGAGCTTCACTTGCCCAAGGTGAACTCCCAGACAAACGGAGGGAAGGAGGTGTCTTACTTCTCCATTCTAGACCAGCTCCAAGCAAAGTCTAGCCGCTGCCCGAAAACAATGTTCTTGATGATAGTTTTTCACGTTATTGTTCACTAAATCCATTATAAAATATCCTAACTGAAAAATCAATTCCAAAACATCTGTCGTTCATAACAAAGTCTTTAACAGCTAAGTCTTCTCCTATTGGTTTTCGTCTTCATGTGAACGGGTTCATTTCAGTTATTTTTAAGAACAAAAACATTCGCATTTAATTGGTATAAACAACCTGCGGGAAAACCCAACACGTAACAAAATTTATTCCGTTTAAAAGCAGAGAATATTGACTAATGCACGTCGCTCAGTATCGTCCCACAAAGCAACTGCCCGACGCTTAACATCGTCCAACAAAGGATTTTGCGGAATAGACAGTGGAAGAAACACCATATCACCTTTGCGGTCAGGAAAAGACAGCACGTCCTCTTTTGGGGAAAGTTGAATTGTTTGGCTTGGCCAAAAAGTCTGCAAGTATGGTTGATAGGAAGTGTTGAGAATCGCGCCAGAGTCCATGTCAAAAAACACTATCAGGTTTTCAGATAAAGTTAATACAATTCCACACTTGTAAATACAAAATGACCTGAAATAAATAATGGGCCAGAACACAAGTATTATATTTTGAGAATCACCAGTGTCCAGATCAATTATCTCAGCAGAACTCCTGTGCATGACTATTGCGACTTTGGGATCATTACTGAAAATTACGACAGAAGGCAAAATTCCAGTGTCACGGTGATAAAAGACTTCATATGAAGTTAGGTTTTCGGTATTTCTTTTCCAAATATAACATTTATTCTTATTACAACCAGAGATGAAGGCACCACCAGGCGAGATTTCCAGTTGCATCTCAGGCTCGATTCCAGGCAAATTGATCATTACAGGACCATCAACATCTCTGACATCGAGAACTTTCACAGGTTCGTTCCTTTCGAGACCCAAGCTGAAAAATCCTTCAGAAAAACGAATCGGCTTTGAATGACTGAAATCAGGCAAGTTGTCTAGCGCCACGTCCTGACTGTGAGTAAATAAGATCTCTAGATTGTCATCTACCGGGTATCGCGTTAATTTGAGAATCCTGTTAAATTCACTAATCACAAACAAGAAATCTTCCGACCACCAGCATAAAGACATTGACCCACATTGACTGCTTTTGAAACGTTGATCAACTTGGCCGGTATAGACATTCCATACGTTGATATATCCATCTGAGTTGCAGGATGCAAGTCGAGAACCGTCAGGAGAAAACGAACTCGAATAAACTTCCGTTGGGTGTGACAGACAGGATTGCTCTTGTTTAGGAGCTAATGTCTTAAAGACAATTAGTTTTTCATAATCTGAATAGAGCCACAGATTATCTCCTAAAAGTATCAATTTGAGTTTATAAAGAAAATCCTTTGAAGGAGCTGTAGCAAGATAGTTCCAAGCAACAATCGCAGTCAAAGGAATACTTTCTGTGACACTCGAAAAACAATATTCATTCGGAGAAATAATACACTCCACACATTTGCAAATCCACGGACACGAAATCGTATTATTTTTTGTCCTTATTTCTAAGTGTTTAAAACTTGGTTCCTCAAATCCCCGCTGAAAACATCGTTCACATTTCCTACTCTTTAACACAACTGGTTTCTCCCTTTCCCCGTGAGATAATTTTCGCTTATCACTTCTTTGCAATGTGATGTCGTTCAAAGCAGACGACGAATAACCCGGATAAGATGAAGATTCTGAATCTGCAATAAAAAATAACCCTGTGACGCTAAAAGAAAACCAAAGAACAGGAAATCCAAGGTGAAGCGACGACACCATTTTTTGTTCAGCAACGTCCCATACTTCAATGGTATTTGAACCGTTGCTAGTCACCAGTCTTTTGCCGTTAGGGGAAAATGCACAGGACCGGAACGTCGCTCCATTTCCAGGGAAAAATGGGACTTCCTTTCTTCCAGCAATGTTAAACGCCGTTTCC